GTGTGATGTCTGCAGTTTGTACATGGATTCACAAAAGCAAGCTGATTGCAGCCCCTAATGTAGATAGATTGGAGGCTTGATGCTTGTTGAATTATTTCCCGTAGATTATCGAAACGCGGGTTGTGTCCCCACGACACCAAAGGATCTATCCATGTGAATTCTATTGATACCCACCGAGAGGATACGAAGAGGGTCAAATAGTTCAAGAGATCAAGAGCGACGCTGGGACGGGTGCACCGCCCGTACCGCGAGGTCCCATCGAATAAAAAACGTACCTGTAAAGGTAGAATTTTACTCCTCAGGAAACATGCGTCGATATATCTCTTCCAGCTGTCCACAGTATACTCACGAAACGGTCCCACAATGTGGAGCGTACTCCATAGCGTAGGAGAGTTTTTGACGAGGTGGTACCACTCTTTCGAGACGAGCTGTAATCTTGCTATGCCTTTTGGCCAATATTCGATGTCGAATTCGAATATGTGCGTCATGAGATGCGCGGGGAGCGATTTGATAGGATGAAGGAGCTCCTTTCGACGATTAATTTCGATTTCTAAAAGCGACTTCTCCACGAGGAGAGAGCTAAGGTGAGCGAGTGCAAGCTTCCTTTGGGTTTGAATATCCTCTAACCGTGGTTCTAAGGACGCGATTTGATCCTGTACGGAGAGACGCTCCGCATTTGTAGGTCTGAGAGGACTTGAAAGATCCACAAATTGCGATAAGGTCATTTGATGGGCACCGAACTGTGACTTTGGTGGACAAGGGTGGTGGTCGAAAGCAAGGTATGTCAACTTGGCGCCGAACTTGGTGACTCGGTGACCTCCATCGGAATTCCAAGAACAAGATTATCACAAAATGAAACAAAATATTGTTTATGATTTCTCATCGTCGACGTGCTTGTAGATAATGTATCATGTTCACAATGTCACTAACCGGAATTACAAGCGGAACTAAGATAATTCGGGTCCGAGGCAAACTAGCTGTGGCATGATATCATGGCCAAAATCATAAACGACATAGAACCATGTAATACATCTCTCCTCTTCTAGAATATGCTCACCTCCTTTGTTTTCATAGATTTGCAAGGCTTCTAGTGCTGGTAGATGAAGATTCTTCAACACGTATGGAGGCACCGGCCCGACGATCTTTAGCATTTGCAGGTCTGATGCCGTGTAAGGGATGGGGTGGAATCTCGAGAGAACGTCAAAACGTGCAAGCCTATTGGAGGCACGTAGAGTTAGGCAACGCAGAAACGGGAATAATTGTAGCCAGTGTGTCTGTGAAGCCATTAAATCATCCCATGGCTTACCGCCATACCACTCTAGAGTGAGTTCGCGTATTGATGGTAGGGGATCCTCTGGGACCATATTATTCCACGGCAGACCATGAATGTCTAGGGTCCGGAGAGATGACACATATGTAGGCTTGTGATAATGTGGAGGAGTGTAAAGGTTTGTCAATAAGAGTTCATATGAGTCCCGAAGGTGAATGACTTGCAGACATTGTGCTTGTCGGATTATCTGGTATAGCTTGTGGAGGCGAGTTCGGTATTCCAATGCTCTTACTCCTGCTATCCACGTATATTCTAGTGAGACCCAACGGGATGATACAAACAGGGTCAAATAGCTCAATAAGTCAAAGGCGGTCTTGCCTTGGAGATCCAAGGTGTCGCCCTCGTCTTTCGGATCTTCTTTGAAGAAAAAACGCACCTTTAGCGGCAGTTTTTTACTCCTCAAAGAGCATGCGTCGATATATCTCTTCCAGCTGTTCGCATGGTGGGCACGGAATATGCCAACGATGTGGAGTGAAGTCCATAGCGTCGGCAAATTTTTGACGATGTGGTTCCATTCCTTCGAGACGCATTGAAGTACTCCTAAGCCTTTCGGTTGAGCTTCGACGTAGATTTCGAATATACGCATCAAGACGTTGGGAGGTAGAAACTTGATGGGATGGAGAAAGGACTTGCGATGCATCATTTCGGTCTCTATAAGTGACTTTTCCGATACGAGAGAATCAAGGTGAGCGAGTGCAAGATTCCTTTGGTGTGCAAGGTCATCTAACCGTGTTTCGAGGGACGCAAGTTGGTCCAGTACAGCGGCTCGTTCCGCATTTGTGGGTCTGAGGGGACTGAGAAGGTCCACAGATTGTGATACAGGCATTTGGTAGACTGTTCGATAGCACTACTCGTGCACAATGGTGGTGGTCAAAAGCGAGTTGTGATTCTCATTCGACTTGTCGCCCACCCCGACCAGACACCCCCGACTGGTCTCCATTTTGTACAATAAACTCAACAAAAAACAACAAACCGATGCCGGTATCCGGCCATGTTCATCGCAGCAGCGTTATCGCGAGAGAAAACGTTTGTGCTCAGGTGAGACTTTTTGATAGCCGTCAGCCGCGACTGAAGTGACAAGCGCTCCTTTCAGGTTCAGATAAGACGCCCTGGCCTCTGTTATCGAGAGTATATCGCAACAGAACGAGGGCAGGGAGCAAATGCAGAGTGCCATATCCAACCCAAAAACTATTACGCCACCAAGATTCATATTGAGACGTCGGGAGTGAATTCCAATGGATATGTCGCCCGAACCCTTCGGTATTCCTTATACTGCAATGTTCAGACCCCAAGCGCGCGCTAGTCCACCTCTTCTTCACCAGACGTCTTCGCTGCAAAGAGAACTAGAAGCTCCTCCAATGCAGTATCAACGACGAAGCAAAGCTGGTCGACCTGCTTCTGG